CACTTTCACTACACCAGCCTTACAATGTGAACATCCATGAAATTTTTACTGTTCCAAGATTAAAAATAATAGTTGTCCCTAATTAATTACAATTAATCTATTCCAAATTCAACCCTGGGTATATTAGTCATTACGGTTAGAGATAACAGTATATAAATATGAGAGGGTTTAAATCTGGGAGAATGACCAATCAGCCCATATCAGAATTTTATAGCCCCAAAGTACAGGGGGAATGCATCCTGACCGTGAAATTCACGGACAGTATGTGGTTTATAGGGGGGGAGAGGGCTAGTAGTAGGGGGACTGGAAGATAATTTCATCATTAAAAATAATTAATGGTTTAATTGGATAAGTTCTATTAATCGTCACTTAACAATGATGTGACGGAAGATAAGCTTAAGTAACATAAATTATTTGACCCAAAATAAAAATGAAAAAGAATTAAGTGTATTAACAAAAAAAGGTAAATTGTTGAAACCTCACCTAAAGTTTTTCATTGTTGCTAAGACCTCTCTTGAAGTTTGGTAATTACAATTACCTCCTCTAAACTTTTTAACACAATTGCAAGTAGACCCCTCTATTAGAATCCTCTAACAAGAGCCATGAAAATGTCTAAAATACCCATATAGTTACTTTTGACCAAAATGTTTGTTTTCCTAATTTTTTCTTCATATCAATCACTATCCATGCCTCTCCTATCTCTTTTCCAAAATTGATTTATTTTTCAAGTTTGCCTTCATGTAAATTGCTCAAATGTAAAACTACAACTTTAAACTCTTTTTTCTGTTCATAAAGTTTGTATTGTTTTTTTTTTCTCTCTAGAAATCAGCCTCAATAATAATTGCATGGGTATTTTGGACATTTCCATGCTTCTTATTAGAGAATTTAAAGAGAGGGGTCTACTTGCAACTATGTTAGAAAATTCAAGGGAAGTGATTGCAATTATCAAACTTTAGGAGAAGTTTCAACTTTCATCAGACAACAATCAGTCGGAGAAGTTTCACAATTTACCCAAAGAACAAACCTTTTGTGATACAAACCTGTTGTATTCTCATTGGTAAGAGTGTAACACAGCCTGCCTAATTCAGCACAGAGTGAGAGTAGCATACGTATCTTCAGTTCACAATTTCACGTGTTCATTCGGGGATGCAACTAAGGGTGATCATTTCAGCTTGGCTTGGCACGACCTGCACAAACCTAGCCCAAAAATTCTGGGCTTAGGCATGGGTTTTGTGTTTAGGCCTAGCTTGGGCTGGGGTCTACATTAGGCCTACAAATTTTAGGACCGGGTCTAGGCCTGATATTTCAAGTTCGGCCTAGACCCAATCTACCCTATATATATATATTTGTGTCTGTGTTATTTTATATATAAATATTATAATATGACACTTATAATTTATATTATATAATGTATAAAATAAATTTATATACATGTTATATGTCATTAAATATGAAAATTATATATCCATTTGTGTGGATAGATGCCACTCATCCTCTCATTATTTATTTATTTTTTTGATAAGACTAGAAGGGGCATAAGACGAGGGTAACACGTCTCCACAAATCACTGGAACAAATAAAAGCAAAAGACCAAGGAAGCTTACAAAGGTTTAGACAAACACAACCATTAACCGATCACTGGACTTCATGTGCATGGTGGGCCAGCCGATCTACAGCCTGATTAGCCTCACGAAAGACATGTCTGTAGATGATTCCCTTCTCGCACCTCTCTTTCAGCTCCTAGTAGTCATAGATGGCATTCCGCAAGTTCCACGAGCAAGGCATTACCTTATTAAGGCAAGAGATCACGATCTTGGGGTCTCCCTCTATAATAAAAGGATAATTCTTGAAATTCAAGGCCAAATTATGGGCTTCTCAAGCAGCCCATGCTTCAACTTTGTTAATAGAAGCAAGGCCCAATTTATAGGCTTTAAAATCCAGCACTTCAATAAGGTGGTTTCCTAGCAAGTGTAGCAATGGTGCACAAACCACCTTCCAACCGCAAAGCATCAAAATTTATTTTAATCACACCCCTCTCCAGGGGGGTCCACCTTAAATAGTTACAATTCTTGATACTATTCTCTCCCTTGATATCTATCATGCTATCCTCAAAGGAGACAGGCTTTATCTATGACTTTAGTAGGGGTATCGAAATATTTTTAAAAACCCTCATGATTTTGCTTTTCCAGCGTTTCCATAGAAAAAATACGAATTTTTCCCTTGACCTTTCCTCCTCATTCGGTAAGTTGTTGAAAAGGTCCAATCACCAATCTCTAAGGTTATGTTTGGTTTGAAGGAAAAGATAGGAAAAGGAAAGGAAAGGTAGGGAAACCTATGCAATGTTTGTAAAGACTTCTCTATCTTTCCCTTCCTTTCCCTACTTTTTCCTTCAAACCAAGCATAGCTTAAAGGATCTTTCTTTCTCGTCCAAACCTTGAATAGTTGGATAGATAATCAACCAATAGTTCTTTGCAAATGAGCAACCTCTGAAAATATGATTCACATCCTCCTCCTCTCCACATAAATTACATCCTCCATCAATATTAACTCCTCTACATCTTAAAAAAGACTTGGTGGGTAGTCTATTATTCAGCAGAGGGAACATAAAAACTTGCAGTTTTGGAGGCCACTTGAGATTCCATATAATCTTATTCCAATTGAAACCATTCATAGGATTCACTAAGGCTTAGTTTGGAAGCAGTACAAATGCAAATATGTACAGCATAAATACATACAAAATAATACAAAATATAAGGTTTTGCACTCTACATATTTGCATTTGTACTCCTTCCAAACTCAGCCTAAATGATTACACATTTATACATCAATCTGTAAGCGAACTTAGAAGAAAAATTTCCATTAGAATTAAACCACCAAACCAACTTATCCTCCTTTTGATCTGAAGGAATGAAAGTGGCCTTGATCTTCAACCAAACATTGTTTGGAACAAGATTACAGATTTTCTCCCTCCATACTTTTCTTTCTTGATCAATTACATCACTCACTAAGAGCTCCTCAGTAACAATGTTTTCTTGAGAAATCAAATCAGCAATGGCCTTATCTCCAAACCGTCTATCTTTCCAGAAGTTCATTGATCTACCATTGCCAATCTCTCACCCCATACCATTGATAAGTAGATCTCTATCCTTTAGAATCCCTTCCCATACCATGAAACTCCTTTTTTGATTTTAACATCCAAAAATTATTTTAAAGGTATTTTCTCTTTACAATTTTCACCCAAAGGTTGTCTTCCTCGGTGAGAATTTTCCAACCCATTTTTTCAAGATTAGTTTCATTAACCCAAATAAGATTTTTGAGCCCTAAACCACCCTTATTTTTATGAGTGCAAGCTTTTCTCAATTCATTAGATGAATCGGCTTTCCACCCTTAGAGTTGGGAAGTTCTTTTGACACCTATCAATCTCCTCAATCACATTTTTTGGAATTTGGAAAGATCTCATAATAAATTGACAAGTCATATTTAAAGTAGAATTGAGAAAAGTAATTTTTCCTGCCATAGAGGGGGTATTCTTCTTCCAATTGGCCAACTTATCAACAATTTTCTCACAGAGATTTTGGAATGTATTTCTAGTCACCCTACCATTAATGATTGGTGCCCCTAAGTAGGATTTGGAGTTCACTTCCAGGGGGATTTTCATAATTTTAGCTAAAAATTTCCTAAATCACATGGGCATATTTTTGGAAAAAATAACTGTAGATTTGGCAAAGTTAGGGCTTTGCCCTGATGCCTTAGCATAGTCATCAAGTATTTCTTTGATTTTAAGACTTGCAGGGATAGTGGCTTTAGCAGAAATAAGACAATCATCTGCAAATTGTAGTATAGGAATCTTGGGAGCTTCCCTAGAAATTCTACAGCCAATAGGGTTACCACCATCCTAAGATTCTTGCTCCAACTGTCTTGCAATAGCTTCAATACAAAGAACAACAATGTAAAGAGAAAGAGGGTCTCCCTACCTTATGCTTCTAGTGGGATAGATTTTTCTGGAGGACTTGCCATTAATCAAAATCTGGTAAGAGACAAATTTGATGCATTCCATAACACAGCCCACCCATTTCTCATGGAAACCAAATATTTTCAAGATTTTCTCAATAAAATCCCACTCAAGTCTATTATAAGCTTTTTCCATGTCAATCTTACAAGCCATCAAACTGGATCTACCCTTCATCTTCCTCATAGAATCGTATGGGTGACTAAAATATTGTCATTGATTTGTCTATTTGGCACAAAGGCACTTTGAAATGGGGAGATAATTTTATCCACCAAAGGTCTGATTTTACTGACCAAAATCTTAGAAATAATTTTATAAATGACATTACAAAGACTTATAGGTCTATAACTATCCATTGATTCTAGGTTTTTCTTTTTTGGAATAAGAGAGATAAAAGTTTTATTTAGAATCCTACATAACTTCCTTGAGTGAAAGAATGCCTTCATCACTTTGCAAACTGAATCTCTAACAATAGTTTAGTATGTTTTGAAAAATAAAGCATTGAGATCCTTAGGGCCTGAAGCTTTGCTCCCATTAAAATTCACCCAATTAAAAGGAAATGTACCCTCCCTTCACATACACCATTGTAAATGTAAATTTTCCTCCCAGTAAGGGAACAAAGTTTACAAACAAAAAAATTAATTATAAATATATGGAAAAAATAATAGTTAAAGAAATCAAATCTAAATCTAATCAGTTATGTAGAAATATAAAAAAATGTAGAAAATATAAAATAATATCATTGTCATCATAAAAAATTGCTACATACAAAGCATGTACACACTTACTAAAATATGAAATACATAGGCCCGAAATCAGGCCTGGCCTGCTCTGAGATCTGTAGACATTGGTTCAGGCTTATGTTTCAGGCCCGGAACCCCGGCCCGGCCCGGCCCGGCCCATGATCACCCCCACAGCAACCCAAAGAAGAGCACGGCCCATGATCACCCGAACTCCATGTGAACTTAGCTCACAGGAAGCGTTCTTTGAGGCTTGACTCATTTATATTCGTAGTGCATCCAATGATTTACGCAGACCACGAGTATCTAGCGCGTGTGTTCGAATCAGAACTGAGCTGAACTATGATGAAACCTGGCAGTCAATCAACCCCTAAAACCTCAGAGGTATGGATCTTCACCTCTCCCTCAATGTGATTCGATCGCTTGTTCTACTTCATTTCTTAGCTCTGTTTTATCTGACAATCTAAGTTTTGAAAGGGGAAAGTTGGGGAAATGGAGCTTAGTTTAATTTCCATCTTCTTGTTTAATCAAAACTTGGTTTCACCAGAAAAATTTAGAAAACAGGGTTTTAAGTTCATCTTCCGATCTAGGTATGTATTCATTCCAATATATTCTTTCGATATTGTAGGAATTTAAGTTCAGTTCAACGATGAACTCAAAGGAAAGTGTTCGTGGTAGTTGAAATTCTGTTTTTGCTTCTGACTTTCAGTCGTTCAGGAAATCCATGTACCAGATTTTCGTTTTTTTTTTCTTGACATCTTTCCCTAATTTATTAACGTACAAAAATTGTCACGTGAGGTTGAGTCAGTGAGATTTGTTAGTCTCGAGGCGGACTCTTGTTTCGCATTGATTGGCATGAGATGGTATATAGGATGAGCTGCGTTTCAATGGACAGTGGTAAATGTCCGGATAAATTGGAATTTAAGACAAATATAAGGATGCAAGAGAGGTTTTATCCTGATTTCCTTTGTAATCCTTTTTGGCGATCAAGTCTGAGATGGCCTTTGGTTAGTGAAGGAATTCTTGTATCCAATACTTACTGTAACAATGTCTTTAGCTGGATGAATCAAGATTATCAGCTGTAAGCTTCTCTTCCATATAACCAAATGCTTCCCCCTTAACGGATCTCATCTTTCAGAAATTTTACCTATGAAAGCATGTCCTGAGCCACCCAGCAAGAACTTGCAGTAGATGTGAGTTAGAGTCATGTTTACGTTCATGGGACTCTTTAAAAGATATATTTTTTTCTTACATTTTGATTTTTTTATCCTCCCCTTTGCCTGGAATCAATAATTATTTGTCCTTTTCTTTTGAAAAATTGAGGAGATTTTATCATAGTTTTGGGTACAATTTATATTTGGTATAGTTTACCAAGATATTGGTATTCTATTTGAAAGACATGAGTACCATATAGATATCTTAAGGTGCTAATTTAAGATAAAAATTTCAAATTTCCTTTGAGACAGGCTCATTGACATCTTTAAGTAGGTTTCTGCCTTTTGACTATATGGAAAGAGTTAATGTTATAGTAGATTTTTCTGAAATTTATAGTGTCTCTAAACTTGTTCACTAACAGAGGATCATTTCTACTAGGATTTCCTATTTTAAACTATGGTAAAAACCTATAAAATTGAAGAGATCCAATTTCCTGGCATCTCTGTCACCAGAGTTTCAATTGTATTTTAGTTGCTTCGGGAACATTTTGGAAACATGTCGGAAACTGTTCATATCAGTCACTGAAACTGGCATGAGTGGGACTGGTAACCAGACCTAGAGCACGATTTCACACTGTTATGATTTAGCCACAACTAATATTTGTGTTTGAGTTCTCAAGAAATTGTCACTGTACTGCACTTTCCCACCACTCATGACTCATGAGTGGCAGTATCTGAGACTTTATATTTAAGGAGTAAGCCATATAATTGGCACGATTCATCTTTCAAAAGGCTTGTGCTATAACTCCAATATGGTGTGCATTTTTGCCAATGCCAAATACTTCAGAAACCTCACTATCAGCTTTCAAGAACCCTACCCTGTAATTGCTAAAAATCCTTTTGATTTCTGACTCCATACTCTTTCAGTCACACTTGTTTAGGGCTTCTTTGAAATGTCTATACTCTATTAAATTTCAAAGATCTTTTTTTTTTTTTTGAGTCATCCTTTCATTTAGTTAGTCTTTTGAGGCTTTATCCAAACTTCATAGCAAGATTTGCCTACTTTCAGTCCATTGATGATAATTTTTTCTTTGTTCAGTCTTTTGATATTTTACAAGAAATCTATATGAAGCTTTTAGTGCTTTTACTAAAGAGTCTTCCATCAGTGACAACTCATCCATGAATTGGATGAGCCCAGCCGCTTGCAATGGTCACTAACAGACTCCTTTTATGTGTGTGTGTCTGTGTGTGTGTGGGTGGGGAGTTATTAAAAAGACAGGTGCTAAAAATTCAGTAATGGTCACCAATACATAGGTACGTTGAAGGCCCCTCCTAGGCAAGCGTATCCCTGATATTTAGTTGGTTGTAATATCTAGAAAAGAGATGCCCATGAAGGAATGTATAAAACAGGTTTCTGTTGGAATACACTACAGTCACCACATGTATTTAAACTCAGTGGCATTTATGAATATCCTTTTATAATCATATTGGGAGTAGAGTTCTTTTTGACTCTCTTTGATCTTTCCAATTACTGATAAAGAAATGTTTTCCAGTTATCAGTAAAAGAATGAGAAATAAAAGCAAAAACTCAGTGGCATTTATGAATATCCTTTTATAATCATATTGGGAGTAGAGTTCTTTTTGACTCTCTTTGATCCTTCCAATTACTGATAAAGAAATGTTTTCCAGTTATCAGTAAAAGAATGAGAAATAAAAGCAAGGTGCTAACCAGCTGGTTGGTAAGGTCTCCTGCTGGTCGTAGCAGAGACTTGGGATCGAATCCTGCCTGCACCTGGGTTGGCGGGGGGGTTATGGGTTGGGGGATGGGCTACCCCCCATTGTGTAGCCCTTCAAAAGAAATAAAAAAAAAGAAAGAGAACAAGAAATAAAAAAGAAAAGTTTCTGGAGGCTGCTTAGGTTTTCACTCTGAGTGGGTGGGGGGTGTCTGCATGTGTATGCTTTTATGTTTCTCATTTCAATACCTGTTTATTTATTTATCTTTCTTTTTCCAAGGTTTTGTACAATCAGAACATCTAGTCATGTATGTATGCTAGTCTGATTATGTTGCTTGGTTTAACTTCAAAGGTCTGTTTAGCTTTGTATGAGATTGTATGGTTTACTGAATAGTACACATTTTCCATGTAGAAATCAAGGGGAGGCACAGGCTCAGTTAGTCTATTTGCTGTACAGTGTGGCAAATGCTTCAAATGGAGGGTAATTCCCACCAAAGAAGAATACGAGGACATCAGAAGTAGATTTGTTGAGGATCCATGGTTCTGTAGCAACAGATCTGGTATCTCCTGTGAGGACCTAGCTGAGATCGAGTATGATAATACTCGTACCTGGGTCATTGACAAGCCAAACATACCAAAGACCCCAGATGGTTTTGAGAGGGAAGTTGTGATGAGGAAAGACTACTCTAGAATGGATACCTATTATATTACACCAACTGGGAAGAAAGTCCGAGCTCCTTCGGAGGTAGAGAAGTATCTAGAAGCAAATCCAAAATACAAAGGTGTGGCTGTTTCAGACTTCAATTTTGCAGTCCCAAAAGTAATGGAGGAAACAATTCCTAAAGGTGTGGAAGGACGGGGTTCCACAAGCAGTAATAAAAAACTAAAAATGTCAAAGGTGGGTGATGATTGAATATTCTCAGATTGATAAAAAAAAAGAGTATTCTCAAGAGTTCTCTCCAAAGTTTGTTAAAATGCGTTGGTTTTATGCCAGAATTGTATTTGCTATCCTCCACACATTTGATTGATTTCTGCTGTTAGGCTTCTTGGCCAGCGTATCTTGTGATTTATTGAGATTCATAAGATACTTAACCATGTAAAATCATTGATTTTTTAATCATATTTGTGTTGTAATAGTAGTATCATTCCTATTTCTTTTTCACATGGGTGATAAATCTTTTGTAATTTTCATGTGGAACCATCTTCCTTTTATACTTCTGTGGTAATTTGCAACTTCCTTAGACCGAGTTTGAACCTGAACTAGATCCATTATGAAGTGTCTGTTGTAGGAATGCAAAGGAGGAGACGGTTCATCATATTTGTATTGAAGGTACTCTTGTTACTAAGATTTGGAGTTATTTTACTTCCATTCTGGGTTTGTACATTTATTAGTGCAGAGGACTATTGATAGTAGTAGACTTCATACTTGGCAGATTAGTGCAGATACTAAAGACTCTCAATGGGGCTGGATTGTTGGTAGCTTACCCATTGTTATTTTATGGGAAATATGGAAAGAATGCAATAAGTGTTACATAGAGAACAAATTTTGTAGTTCCGAAGGCATAATCTCTAAGATTATACATCGGCTATAGGAGATGTGCTACCCTCTAAGTTTTACAAAGGCTCCTAGTCATGTTCAACTTGCTCAAATTGATTCTTTGGGTGTACTCAGCAGGCCGATAGCTTCCATGAGAGCTAAGATAATCATTGGGTTCCTCTGTCTAATGAGGTTATGATGAATGTTGATGGGGCATGTGGGGGTAACCCTAGTATTAGTGGCAGTGGTTTCGTTTTGAGGGATCATCACAATGTTATTCCTTTTTCTTTTGCCCGGTTTTGTGGTCTATCAAATAATCTAGTGGTTGAGCATTGCACTCTATTTTATGGGATTTGTTTTGCTGTGGACCTTGGTTATACTTCCCCAGCTATATGTTCTGACTCAAAGGTCCTAATTGTATTTTGGGATCCTCCACTCCGCCTTGGAGTTTGTGGTATTGGACTGAAAGGATCCAGTTTTTTTTTTTTTTTCTTGGGCAGAAGATCCAGTTAGTTTTACAGCAATGCTCCTACATGTTTCTTCAATAACTACTGAGAAGGCAATCAAGTGGCCAATGCTCTTGCCAATGAGGCTTGTAACACCGGCACGGATTGTTTTTCTCATAATAGAGAGGAGCTTCCTCGCCAATATTCAGTATCTGGTCGGGTATAATGGCACAGATTTACCCTTCTTTATAGTTTTGAGGGGTAAGGCTTCTACCTCCTCCCTCCTAGGTTCCTTTTGTTGATATTAATAAATTTACAGTGCCCCCTCCATCGGGAGTAAAGTTTGGGGTTAAAAAAGTGATTGTATGAAGTGATTATAGTTATGGTCTTTTTATCAGTGACAGAAAGAAAAAAAAAAGAACTAGAAGCCCTCCTTATTTTATTAATCAATAAACTCTTTCAGCAAGCATGTAAGGTCTTTAAGTATGGATTGAAATATTGATATGCACAATACTCAAAGCTGCTTATTGACGCATATTAAATCCAGCGATACTTTTTTAATCTTATAATGATTAGAGGGTTGGGACTCACATCTCTGAATTTTTAAATTTTATAGAAGACTTTTGTATCAGTGTATCCCAAGGTTCAACATATCGATACAGGGCGATACGCCAATAGGGTGTGTATCGGCCTGTATCAGTACTGTTTTTTTAATTTTTTTTAATCTGGTTCCAAGGGGTTTAAGGCTGGTTTACCCCCTGAACCAATCACTGACCTGAAGCACCCCCTATAGGGGCGTATCGGGAAGGCCCTGATATGATACATATTGGCCCATATTAATCGATATGTATCAAACTTTTGAACCCTAGTGTATTCAAACATATCTGGACAGATATGGATATGATAAACCCCGATATTGCATTGATATTTTAATCCTTGGATTAAAAAAATTGGGACCATCAGAAACATAATTTACCAGAGATCCCTACTATTACCCCACCATGAGAGGGAGAAACAACTCTACTCCTATGCTTATTAACTTTTTGTGTATGATACATCTATGCTCATTAACTTTTCTACCAAAAGATTACCCTACACTAATGCTATGTTTGGTTTGATAGAAAATAAGAGAAACAAATAAGTTATAAGAAAGATTGTAATATATTCTCTCAAGGCCACTATTTCATAACCAAGCAAGCACAAACACAATCACAATTAACCACCCAAACTCACTAACAGGTAAACCCTAAAAATGAATTGTGTGTGTGTGTGTGAGAGAGAGAGAGAGAGAGAACTTTGAGCTTTGCATGAACTTGGCGATTTGCACAATCTGCTCCAAAGTTGTTAATGAGCTATGTCAAGTTTGAATTGGGAAGAGTGTAAATATAGATGTCCAGTGCAAATATAAGGTCTTACATGGTACATATTTGTATTTGTATTATTTCCAAACTCTGCAAATAAAAATGTTCAATGCAAAACCTTGTATGCAGTATTTTTAAATCTTGTATTTGCACTCCTCAAACTAAGCTTTGGTTCATTGCAAGTTGCAACAACTTTACAAGACTAGTATTAGGGTTTGTTCATATTCTCTGATGCCCGACATCTGAAAGTGCAATAATTACATTAAGAGGTATATTGGTATTGGTGAACTTTTATTTCCTTTGAACTTTGAATGCATAGAATGTTGTCCTGAATTTTGAATTCTAAAAAATGTCAAATATCCAATTTAACCCCATATAAGAGAATTTTTGTTTTTTATATAGTTCAATAAAAGCAATATTAAAAATTATTATAATAATTAAGTATTAATTATTATGATTAATTAACTATTATTAATAGTAATTAATTAATAATAATTGATTAATTAATTATTCATAATTCATAATTAATTAAGTAATGAATGAGTATTAGTATTATTATTAATGAATAATTATTAATTACTAATTAGAATATTATTATAACATATTATAATGAATAATGTAATATAATATAATATCAGTAATATTATAATATTATAGTATTATGAATATTATATTAATATTATTATTACTATTCATAATTTATAATACTATTTAATAATTAAGTGGTTACTATTTTATTTAATAACATTATTTAATATAAATAATTATTGGTTTCATTATAATATTATGATTGGTAAATAATATTCTAAATAATTAATTATAGTAATTATTAATAGAACTATAAGACAACAATTAATAATATAGTTAATTAACTATTATAATAGTAGTATAATATGAATATTTTGTATATTATAATAATATGATTGATAATATTATGGGGAAAATAAAAGATCGGTGGTGGGTCCGATGGGTCTTCATATGAGATATTATAGGTTAATTGAACATTATAGGGACAATATGGGAAAAATTATAAGAATAATTACTTCAGCCATCATGTGGCTTCAGAGTTAAAAGGTCCGAAGACGTCTTTAGTGCTGAAAGTGGTACGAAACCACTTCAGCGTTAAGAGATTAGAGGCACCGAATCCCTACCAAAAAATACAGTATGTGAGTTGCTTATACAAGGGATTACACCAGGCACCGGCAATAGCAGCATCTACACAGTTTCACACTGCCACATGCTTCCACACATGGTGTTCTTTGAGTTGAGGCACCGACACCTGGGGAACACTGCATACCAAGATGGGGGCAGACTCATAGTCATAAAAGCCACTGAAATAGATATTGCCACATGTATAGACATATAATAAGAATTGAGAAATCACATCTTGACCGTTTAAGATACATATCTTAAATCTCGTATTATTTGGAATGTCATATATTGTCGAAATGGACCAGAACCAGATGCTTGCTTTGAGCTTCCAATCCACTCTGTGCCCAACTGACATAGATGGTTCATAATCCTTTAACACTAGGCTTTATATTCCTTCTACTTTGAGTGAATCTTTTTATTTAGAAGGCAGGTTAAGCATGTCCTGATTCCTGAAGATAACCGTCCGCCTACTGGGGGAGGAAGGAAACCAAAAGCGCTAGAAACCCCAGATGAAAACATAAACAACAGAAATTTAAAATTTCTAATTGAAAAGTCGCATATCAGAAAATAAAGCAACCTGGAAGCATGTAGTCTCTTTTAGGCATAGTGTTGAAAGACTTAAATGGGAGAAAACAATAGCAACAGGGGATTCAGGTTTATGCATAAACGTTTCTAACAAAATTTGATGCTGTAATTTGACAATTGAATGCGAGAGAATAAACATGATGTGAGAAATAAATTATGCATCTCATTATAAATTAGCTTGTAAGAGATTATAAATATTTGGGCCTATCCTTGGCAGAAGCTAGGGGCCAACAACCTAATCAAATGTCAAAATATGTACATGACAATCAGCTGCTGAACAGGCAACCTAGCCCGAGCAGGAAGACCCTACTGCAAACTATAGATGGACTTGCATTTGTGGTCACTTTCATCTGTAATCCTCACTATTCTTTAACTTCGAAGAGTTGAGGAAGCCCCAAACTAGACCAGAAAGGTAAAGATCCATCACAACAACCAAATCAGCCTAGAAAATCTCTCCATGAATTCTGCACTTTCAGAAACATTTTCTCATCCTGCCTTGGTATCAATGAAAACTGTAAGCTAGAAAACCATAGGGCTACTGTCAGAACAACAATATGCTTTCAGAATGTAAGTGGGTTAGTATTAATCACAATCGATAGCTCAAGCACCATGTGGCAATTGCTGACGTGAGAACAAAATGCATTCATCTAGTCGGGTTTAGTGTACTCAAGAAGCACATGTGGCGATCTGTAAATCTTCACCAGAGTCCAATACAAGACTTCTTCAACTTCAAGCTCACCCTCTGCTCTTGCAGCATAGATATCCTCACAGATTGCTATCAATCTATCCAATTAACAGTTAATAAACCCTTTAGACCAAGAAGCATAGTAACATTGCACTATTAAAGTTCAAGATCTCCAATTAAGGCTCATCTTGTAGCTCAAGGGTGCAAATGGGAATATGACGTTGACTCAAGGTTCAAAGTATCGACAAAGGCTGATATGCCGGTAGGGCGTATCGGCCTGTATTGGTACTTTTTTTTAGGTTTTATTTATCTTTTTTTTCAAAAACGGTTCAGAGGGGTCGGTTTAAGGCCCGGCTACCCTCTGAGCCAGGGTCTGACCCAATACAACCCCTGGAGGGGTGTATCGGGAAGCCATTGGCACGATATGTATTGGCCGATACGTATCGATACTTTGAACCTTGGGTTGACTATGAAGAAACCCTTGCTCCTATGCTAAAATGACAACTATTAGGGTTGTCCTAGCTCTTTCTGCAATTAATCATTGGACTATCTTTCAGATGGATGTAAAGAATGCATTTCTTCATGGCCATTTGAAAAAAACAATTTATATTTAGCAACTCTAGGGCATTTTCATAATCAGTCCTTGGATTTCAAGTTAAAGAAAACATTGCATGAATTAAAGGAAGCTCCAAGGGCATGGTTTGAATGCTTTAGGGATGTGATAATTAAGGTCAGATACACACAGCTGTAATGACTATCAATTGCTTGTTTATTCAAGATCCTAAGGTGTGACTTTCTCACTATTATATCTTGATGATACATTGACAAGAGATGGCACTGAGGGCATTGAGCAACTAAAGTTGATTCCAAGTCAACATTTAAGATGGATTTGGGTTCATTGACTTATTTTTAGGACTAGAGGCTCATTTTTCTTGGGATTAATGTTGTAAAGTGGCCAATCTTACAGATGATTAGTGAGTTACTACACCCATCAAACTCAATATTGAATTTTACCAACTGATGGTGGCTCAGTTGGTAACTTCTCTGGCTAGTAGTTGTAGTAGACTTGGGATCAAATCCCATTGCCACCAGGGTTGGGAGTTTATCGGTACAGAGGACAGGCATCATCTTGCTTTGCAGTCTTCTCCATGATTTGTCTGCCAATTTACTTTGTCAGTAACTCTTCTTTATGCAGACAACACTAGTGCCATAAATATTACCTCTAATCCAGTTTTTCATGAGCAGACTAAAACACAATTAAGTAGATTGCCATCTCTCTCTCTCTTTTTTTTTTTTTTTTGATCAGTAGATTGCCATTTCATTTCTAACCAGTATTTGACTGGGACTATTACTCCCCATTACATAACCACTGACTCTCAATTTGTAGGCATCTTCACTAAGGCTGACTTAAGTTCAACATGATTTCCCAGTTGACAAACTGTGCTTTCACAGCCTTGGTTTGAGGGGAAGTGTAAAATAGGCAATAAGGAAGTATAATAACAGGAATAAGAGAGTATGATGATGTATCATATTATGGTATTGTCATGTATAGTATCATAACTGTACACATTTCCTTTTCAGGATTCTCTCTTTTGCTATTTTTCTTCAAGTCCCTCTTAGGGAACACTTTATAATTGTAATAGTTTAATCTCAGATAGAGAAAGTTTTTGAACCTAAATATCGCTCTTGTTATTAGCTTAAGCTCAAGGATACAACAGATTATAACATCTCATTGATTACGACTTATTTTAAATTGCTCCTAAATTTATTAGTTGTAACAGTTTAAAATTAATTGAAAGAAAAAACATAAAGCCATAAATAAAGCTAGTATACCTGTCACAAGATGGAAGGTTCTCATAGGGTATTCTCATTCGAAGGTCCGAGCATTGGAGTCTGATAAACCGACCAACTGCCAATACAAAGGTAATATAGAGACCCCAGATGCTGAACTTGCTAAGAGTTTCACCAAGAATACCCTCTGGACAAGTATGAAGGATTTAGATGTGAATCCACGAGAAGAAATCAATAACAATTTTATAAGTCTTTCTTAATTGAAATAGAGAAAAAACTATAATGGTTGTGGTTTTTCATTCAACTTACGTGGTGTTTCTTCAGATACAATGATGGCCACAGGTCCTGTCAATCCTCCACAGCCACCCACATCTGATGCATTGACATCATAGAAAGACCACCAGTCAGGACTTCCATGATTTATTGTAAGGTCCCCACTGACAAGATTAACCTGTATACCATTAATAGTAACTAGTAAGTGATGTATGAATAGCAAATCCATAATAATTTTATATGATTAGTTAATAACAGTAAAAGTAAAAGAAAAGAAACAGTTACATCCATATCAAGCAAACAAGAGAAAGATGGAAAGGTATTGAGCAAGGCATACCTCCTGCTCAAGAAGGCGTACATCACCAGAACCAGTAACCCGGAAGTATCTTGGGTAAATATTGTATATCCTAAAACTGTTGGCAGTACCATTGAGCACTGCCTTCACTTCTGATGGCTCTGGAAGATCCTGCTTCTGAATAGGTGGATCATATTTGACAACTTCCTTCCCTTTTGGCCTATCCCTCGTAAATACCCAAGAAAAAATAATTTTCATGTTCTTGTTGAGAGATTGAATGAATCTAGCCTGAACCACAGGGGGAACAAGCCACAAGGTGCTAGCATCAGATTGGCAGCATATTAATTGGATATCATTCTTATTATATGTATCTAGAAAACCATGAGGGTCCAGATTAACATCAACATCCAACTGATCCCATGGAAGCCTTTCACACAGAGTGGTATGGTATAATGTCAGTCTTCCACCAGCTGTCTTAACATCAATCTGAACACTAGCATCCTTAATAGGATTTGCAATGTTTGTTGGGTTACCACTGCTATACATCTGTCAAAAGAGAACACCAATAAATTTCCATGCAAACATTAACACTGATGTCAAAAGGCAAAAGGAGCCCATTGCCCTCAAAGAAAGAAAGTACTATTCCATATTATGAACAGGTATATAAGCTCAATAGGACAAAGAAACTTGTGTCAGTTAGGGCTGCAAGTTGGGTTGGCCCGAGTCAATAGTTTACACTGTTTCGGGCTTGGGCTTCGGGTTGGGCCTATTGAAAATTTGACAAATTCCCATATCATAACTCCAACACGTGCATAGCACATGCCATTACACTAGTAAGTATAAAAAAGTATATGAGCTTTGCAGCCAAGCAAAGCAAAGAAAAAGGTAAATCAGAAATTATGTTTAAACTAATTGATTCAAATATTTCCCATTGATATGTAATTAAACAATTTTTCCATTTAAACATTGGCAGTACTTATAGAATTAGGACCAACCTACTATCTAGGATCTTTAATCAAGTTTTGAATGTGATCGAGAAACCACTTATCATAAAACCTCAAGTACAATTCCCCACCAGGTTTTTGGCAGTAAAAACCATTAATCATATAAATACCAACTGCTTAAATAAGAGATTTGTTATGCAGGAGAGAAGAAGAGAGAAGAGAGAACTGAGAGCTCAAAGATTACTGCTGGCGGCGCAGCTTTTTAATATATATACTAGGGTGACAGCAACTAAAATAAAAAGGAGCAAAAGTACAATAGTACCCCTGCAGTACTATACATAGGAAAAAATAACAGCTGTTAAAACTCCCCCTCAAGTTGGGACATAAATGTCAATCATGCCCAACTTGTCACATAAATCATGATGTCTTGAGTGGTGTAGTCCTTTTGTAAAGATGTCTGCAAGTTGATCCTCAGAGTTGACATAGGGAGTACACACTTCCCCTGTGATAACTTTCTCTCTGATAAAATGCTTGTCGACTTCGATGTGTTTAGTTCTATCATGTAGCATAGGGTTAGCAACAATGTTTATGGCTGCTTTGTTATCACAGAATAGGGTCATAGGTCTGTCCAYTGGAAAACCCAACTCACTCAACAGATTCTTTATCCACATAATTTCAGCCACTCCATGAGCCATTGCTCGATATTCAGCTTCAGCACTGGATCTAGCCACCACACTTTGCTTTTTGCTTCTCCAAGTAACTAGATTTCCTCCTATGAAGGTACAGTAGCCACTAGTTGACTTTTTGTCATTTAGGGATCCTGCCCAATCTGCATCAGTATACACTTCAACTTTCAAATGTCCGTGCCTTTGAAACAATAAGCCAACACTTGGAAACCTTTTAAGGTATCGGAGGATTCTTTCTGCTGCTTCAAGATGAGTGGTCATAGGGGCATGCATGAACTGGCTAAGGACACCAATTGCATAAGCAATGTCTAGGTGGGTCATAGAAAGATATAACAATCTCCCTATAAGTCTCTGAAACTGTTTCACATCCTTGATAGGTTCACCTTGGCTGTCACCTAATTTATGGTTAGGATCAATGGGAGAATCAACTAGCTTCACTCCCATTTTTCCTGTATCCCGGAGTAAATCTAGGACAAACTTACTTTGGGAAATGAAGATACCCCTTTTTGAGCGGGCAACTTCAATTCCTAGGAAGTATCTTAGAGGACCTAGATCCTTTACTTCAAACTATGTGGCAAGAAAATTCTTCAACTTTTGGATTTCATCCTTCCAATCGCCAGTGATAATTATATCATCAACATATGCTATCAAAGCAGTAATTTTACCTTCTCCTCTTTTCACAAACAATGTGTGATCAGATTGACATTGTTTGTATCCTTTTTGCTGAACCGCTGCATGTCATTTGCTGAACCAAGCTCTCGGTGATTGTTTCAGCCCGTATAAAGACTTCTTCAATCTGCACACCTTTTGTTCATTGCCTTGAGCCTAAAAACCAAGGGGTTGCATCATGTAAACTTCCTCTTCAAGGTCACCATTCAAGAATGYATTMTTGATATCAARCTGATGTAGATCCCAGTCAAGATTAGCAGCAAGAGAGAATAGAACTCTAATGGAGTTCATCTTGGCAACGGGTGCAAAAGTCTCTACATAATCAACTCCGTACACTTGTGTAAACCCCTTTGCTACTAAATGAGCTTTATACCTCTCCATTGTGCCATCAGCCCTATGTTTGACTGTGAACACCCGTTTACATCCAACTGGATCCTTTCCCTTAGGAAAATCTACAAGTTCCCATGTGCCATTTTTATGAAGGGCATTAATTTCTTCCTTCATAGCATCTGTCCATTCAAGTACTGAAAGAGCTTCTGCCACATTCTTAGGGATAGGGACATTGTCAATGGATGTGAGAAAGGCTCGAAAAGAGGGTGATGTTTTCATAGGAAACAAAGTGGGAAATTGGGTGTTTAGTGGTGCACGATCTAACACCTTTCCTGTGAGCAATAGGAAGGTCAAGGTCATTAGCAACAGAGGTATCAATTGCAACAAGGTCAGGAACATCAATGCGAACCAAGATACCTGAGTGAGTATGATCCGCCCCTGAAGAGTTTAATGGCACTGGAGGTACAACTTCTGGATTCTCCACAACTCTTGAATTTGGTTGGCCTTTGTGACGACGGAAGAAGACACGAAAAGGAGGAGGATCAGGAAGAGGAGGGAGCTGAACCAGTTTTCCTCATTCCTACTCTCCCCCTGAGGAGAAACAGGGAAAAAAGGCTCACTCTCAAAGAAAGAGACATCCATGGAAACATAGAATTTCCTCAGACTACATAATGGCATATACTTCTTGGACTAAAGGAGGGTCACTACTACCCAAATTTTGAACACAAAGAGGCTCAAACACAAGATTTTAGCCTAACAAGAAAGAAAAAACTCATTGTTGAGAAACTAACTTCTTGTTTGCTTTTGCATCATCATCATCATTCTTTCATTGAATAGTTTGGTAGTGATCCAATTCTTTGCGAACAGAGGTAAGGGCAGAGTAGTAATTAGACAAACTACGATCACCCTACTTACATGTAGATGATTCAGCCTACAACTAAGAAACCTTAGCATAATGTCTCTACTCTAAATAGGTTAGTTTTGCCTGCTCCCAAATCTTATTTGCTGTATCAATACACATAATTCTTCCCAACCTCTAGTTCCATCACAACAAGGAGCCAGGACCTTACCATACTATTCTCTTGGTCCCATCTATCATGTTCAATAGTCCTTAACTTGGGTTCTTTCACTTTACCATTGATTTAACCAGCTTTCCCCCTAGCTGTAGCATAAAGTTTAGTAGAAAAGTGTTGAAATAAAAAAATCTGTAAAAGAAAAGAATATTTCTTGAAGAAAAGAGGAGAGGAGAAAGAAAGAGAAGAAATTTGAGAGAGAAAAGAGAGCAATAATGCTGGTCGCCCTCTTCACTATTATCTAAAATAATAAAGAGTACAAAGACCAATATGCCCTTATAGGGCAGCTAACACATAAAACAACATAAAACACTTACAATAACTACTCAAAAGGGACCCAACAAGAGTGCTGTGGTCCCACTTCCTATCTAAACAATAAATAATAAAAAACTACCACAATAGACTACACAAATTGTCTAAAACCTCAACACTCCCCCTCAAGTTAGGAGTAAATGTCACACATTCCCAACTTGCATAGATTGTATTCAAGCTTGTTCTTTGCAACCCCTTTGGTGAAGACATCAGCTAACTGTAATTCAAAAGAGACATAAGGCAAGCAAACTTCTCCAGTTGTCACCCTTTCTCTTATGAAGTATCAACCTCAATGTGTTTAGTCCTGTAATGCTGAATTGGATAGTGGGCAATATTCTTAGAAGCTTGGTTGTCACAATATAACATCATGGGCTCCTCAGTTTTTATTCCAATCTCACTCAGTAGAGATCTCACCGAAAGTAGTTCTGAAACACCATGAGCCATAGATCTATATTTAGCCTCTACACTTGATCTAGCAACAATTGACTGTTTTTTACTCTTCCATGAGACCAAGTTCCCTCCCACAAAGGTGCATACCCCTGATGTAGATCTCCTATCATCTAAGCAACCTGCCCAATCTGCATCTGTGTAGGACTCCAAACTTTAAATTTTCATGGTTTGAGAAAAGAATCCCTCTGCTAAGATGCTTCTTCAGGTATGCAAGTATCCTCTCAGTGGCTTCCAAGTGCTGAACCTGAGGAGCATGCATATACTGACTCACAACACTAACAACATAGGAGATGTCTGGGCGTGTCATACATAAATATAGTAGTCGACCTACCATCCTCTGATATCTTCCCACATCCTTAACCAACTCACCATCCAAAGCATTAATTCTATGATTTGGGTCAATAGGAGTATCACCTGGTTTAGTTCCTAGCTTCCTAGTCTCCTGTAGTAAGTCCAACACATACTTCCTCTGAGAGATGAAAATCCCATACTTGGATTTTGCAACCTCAATCCCCATAAAGTATTTTAGTTCACCTAGATCCTTGATCTCAAACTCTTGTTGTAGTGACTTCTTGAGTGCATCAATCTCCTTCAGATCATTTCTTGTAACAACTATATCATTTACATATACAATCAATACTAACAAGAGTGCCTCTCTCCTTTTTACAAAGAGAGCATGGTCGGATTGAGTTTGTGTGTACCCAAAACAAATAAATGCCCCTTTGAACCTGTCAAACCATGCCCTAGGTGACTGTTTCAAACCATATAGTGATTTCTTCAGCTACAAACTTTTCCCTTACCAACATTCTCATAAAAACCAGTTGGAATGTCCATATATACCTCCTCTTCCAAACCACCATTAAGAAAAGCATTTTTAACATCAAGCTAGAATAAAAGCCATGAATAGGTAGATGCTAGGGACAAGAGAATTTGAACTGAGCTCATCTTAGCAACTGGTGCAAAAGTCTCCAGGTAATCAATACCATAGGTCTGTGTATATCCTTTTGCAACCAACCTTGCCTTGTACCTCTCTATACTGCCATCAGCGCTGTACTTCACAGTGAACACCCTTTTGCATCCGA